GACAATTGATAATAATGTAATTAACACGTATATATTTAAATAATAATCAACGCTATGTGGCTTATAAATATCGTCGAGTATTCCATCTATCATAACTAAATTATCTTGTCGAACAAAATTGAAAAGTGATGGTGTTGTCTCGTTTTTAGAATTTGACCAAACTTGAATCCACCAATTTTCCATTATTTGCATTGCTCTAGTTGCAAGAAATATTCCGACAAAGAATAACCAATAAAGTATATTTCCATTTGCACGGAAATAAGACTTGTAAATCTTAAACTTAACCATGCCAGTTGGTCTCGCTAGTAATTAATTACAATCAAGATTAATCCTAAAATTTTGAATCAACAAAATAAGTACAAAGACATACCTTCTTCTTCAACAAGAACTTTTGGTTTAGAGACTTTTTTTATTGGTTGTGAATCATCCGCCTGATCAACATTTTCGACATTTTCGACATTCTCGACAAGAGTTGCATCGGAAACATTTGATGAATTGGCGTTGTGACCAGGAGTGGATGACTGCTCGGAGATATTACTTACTTTAATAGCATTTTCAGCGGCTAGTTCAACGGAATTCACGAATTCTGATCGATTATCATTCTCATCAAGGATCGAGGCCAATGTTCCTGAATTGCGTAATTCTGAAATCGACCCAGATGTAACGATTTTTCCATTATTAACAACAACCTAAAAGAATAATCGGATCCTAATTAGTGCAATATTAAATGATTATTAAAACGCAAAATTTGTTACAGATAGTTTGCGCCATACCAAATAAGCAGCACCAGTAACAGAGAGTCTGATATGATGCGTTACAAGAATTCGAGTACGTCCTTTCATTATAGGACCTAATAGACATTCATTCATCAATTGCCAAGCAGTGTGTGCGTCAACAGCACTGAAAACATCATCTATGTATATATGTTGTGCTCGCGAATAGACAGCTCTGTGAAATTTACAATTTAACGTCAAGCTTAACGAATAATCAATTAAAATATAAAAAATCAATCATAATTACGTAAATTTACCTTGCTAAAGCAACACGCATTTTCTGACCACCACTTAATGTAATTCCCTTTTCACCAATTTCTGTCAT